GGAACACACTACCTCTTGCAGTTTCCCTGCAGGCAAAATACGTGAGGTGCCAATTCTCTACATATGAACTGAAATCCTCATGGGATAGACGTGTGCATTTGCAACTACAGTTGAACTTTACAGACATATAAGCAATGCACACACCTGAAAACGCACACGGCGGTAAGTCTGGATTTTAACAAAGTCAAACAAACGTCATGGAGCTTGAAGCTTCCATCGACAAAGAACCATTTATCAGTCTTAGCAAACACTCTTTCTCTATAAGACAAGCTGACACCCGTCTGCAGCCAGACGATGTTATGTTTCCTACTCACGTCCAACATGCATGAGTTTGCTAACGTGTATGTGTGTGTGTGTGTGTGTGTGTGTGTCTGTGTGTGGTTGCAATTCTTTGCTCCCCTGCTGACAGTAAAAATGCCGGCTTCTAATACGATATTGACGGGCGCCAGAGGAAGATGATGACATCACCTCCGACCAATAGCAGAGCCGTGACCGACAGACAAGAGGAAGGACGGACGTGGCGGACAGAGATGGAAGAAAAATGCGGAGAGATGGAACGGAGGAGCTCTTTTAATTTGTGTTTTGCTGAACTCAGCGGCTCTTGTCACCGATACAGGGAGGGGGAGAAAAGGAAGTGTGATGGATGAGTGGAGAAAACAAGGGGAGAAAAAGAGATGGAAGATGAGAAGGGAAGAGAGAGGGGGAGAGTGAAGAGTACATAAAGCAGCTGCGGGGAAATAAAAGAGTAGTTGATGGTTCCGGGGGTGGAGATCGTTAGTGGTGAGCAGTTAACGGATCGGATGGGAGGAAGAAACAAAGTCAGGCTTGATCTGTAACTGATGACCTAACTATTTAGTGGATGGAGACTGGGTGAGAAGAGGAGTCTCATGTCTGTATAAGCTGGAGAAATGATCACACACATTGTGATTATGGATTGCTGGTGTGGGTGGGCAGGCTGAGCTGAAGCATGTATCCAGAGTGTGTGTGCGTGTGTGTGTGTGTGTGTGTGTGTTATGTATGTCAGGGTATACAGTTTCTGTTGAAGACAAAGTCTATTCTGCTACAGTCTCAACCAAAATGAGTCATTGTTTCCAAAACAGAGACTGCCCACTGCGTGCCTGACAAGTTTGCACAATGTGTGTGCGTGTGTTAGCACATCTATGTGGTTATACAAATTCCAACAAGGTCAAAGTGTGAAAACAGACACAAGACAACAAAACAGATGCACGCAATCTGATTAAAATGTCCATATGGGCACACAGACACACAAACACCCACACGTTTGTGTTTCCATACTTGTGAGAACACACGTTGCCACAAAGTATTCTCTAACTCAATAAAGTTACACCAATTAAAAAATAGCACTTAAAATTCCAATAGCCTATGAAGGAAGTTTTGTAAGGGTACAGAAGGTCGAAGGAACTATGCTTAAAAAATACCTAGAACTATTCTCACTTGTCACTTGAATAAAATGAAAAAGTGACACAAATTGTTGCTCACTATCCAACACGTCCTCACAGAGATAGAAGTGTAATCACTCACTACAACACACACACACAGGGCCAAAACACTGAGTGATGTGTGGGCACGACAGAATCAACCAGTTAAAAAAGGCTAGCTATCACCGTGGCAACGTCTGGGCCGTGTACCAATAGGAGGTCACTTGATGAGGTAATGTTCTCAAAAGCATTCCTAGCCAGTGCGTCTCCCACGCGCATGCGCGTGTCCACAGGCGGACAAACAAAAGACACACACTGATAGAATGATACTGTACGTATGCAGATAACTTCAGCAGGATATGCTAAACATCCAGGTTTATGTGTACAATGCAATAACTCCCTGTTACGTAACATTATTCCGTAACTCTTGCAGCACACACAACAAAGAAGCAGAGCACTGCGGCAGCCCTGATCCTCTCTGCAGAGTGATTGATGTTACATCATGCTCCAATAATGATCCATGAAACACTGATACAGGTCATCCATCACAGTATCTCACGTCATTCTACATGCTCCCAAAAGCTTATTTGCTTTTTGGGGGAAAGAGGGGGGTGGCCTTATTGAAAATGAGAGGATCTTCAGAAACTCAGTGGAATAAATATTCAGATGTTCACAAGCCCCCGTTAGACTTGGAACTCTGTAGTTGAAGGCATTATTAACCCCGCTTACGTGGCTTAAGAGAGCATTACTGAAGTCCACATTCTCATTACTCACATGGAGTAGAATACTAGAATAGGCTTAACCGGGGAAAAAAGATATAGTCCGAAGTGCGCAGATGTAACTGATTGCGTCAATGTAAGATAATGTGGTGCCGGAGACAAATATACTTAAGAAAGAAGTGAAAACCAAGCTGAAACTGCCACAAAATCAGAGGGATAATTGATTCATCTGACATTCTGACAATGAGACAACAGCAAAAGTAGAGATTTCGTATCTCTATTTGCTCCTTCCATTGTCCTCCTTCACACATCGCATCCCCCTCCGCCCACCAGCATACACACCAAACTTTTCACACACGTCAGCACACATTTCCACACAAGCAACTGCTTTTCATATATATTCCATAGGATCTGTCCCCGTCCATCAGCTCAGCTACTGAGCATGAAGTCAGTGTGACTGCGGCTGAATTTCTCTCATGCGGCAACCTCCCCGTCTCAACGTATACGCGGGTTTGCGTGTCAAGCCTGCATGTTAAATTCCTCTGAGTGCCTCCATGTCAGCTCCTTTCAGTCAATTACTTTGAGAATGTGCATTTCTTGGCCCCCGCGCTGACCTCCCACCACTGCCCAAGCAAGCCAGGTGCGTGCGTGTTCGTATGGGCGCGCACTCTGTACCCTAAGTCTATTCTTTATGCTCAATAAACTGTATTGGATTTGCAGAACTGCTGACGGTTTTTCTGGAGAAAATTGGATGTTCACTGAGAAAAATATCAGGAAAATTCAATTATTCTCAATGTGGGTCTCATGATCCTGATCTTGATGAAACATTTAGAAGGGGAAATGTCACTTTCCGTGCAGTGTATGAATTTATGGAACTCATCTGTAACATAATTACAAACTGAAGGCAGAGTTTGTTTCTAACAACATGATATCCAAAAAATGCCTTCAAAGCCAAACTCGATATTAGAGTACCGTAGAAGGGGGGTAACAAAGGTTCTGTATTTTTTCAATGCATTGTTCACGTCCTTATTGTAAAGAAACAGTGAACAGATACAATGAAAGACGATCTTATTGGTCTCTTTCACCATCAATTGAAACAATTGGTGAAAAGCCTTCAAATCTTCTCCTAGCTCATGTGATTTACTATAGAAATTCAAAATGAGAATGGAGTGCCTAAAAAAGTTGCATTAAAAAAAGAAATGCTAATTTCGTAATGCAGCTTGATGCAGGAGTTTCCATTATAGTAAGCTGGCCCAATTATATCTTTCAAACTGTTGAAAATCGAAAAATTGCAAACGTGGGACAGAGATTAACCATCAAAGGGTGCTTTAACTAACCAACTAATTATGTTACTACCCTTAGGCTCGTGCACAAGTTGTCCATCTTCCTCTGGTGCAAGCCACACAAGCAGTGTGGGAAACACCCGGGTGGAGCGGCCCCAGTCCGCTTGATTCCCCTTGGTGCTCCATGTAGCGCTTATGATGCATCACCACCAAAAACCGTGGTAATGAGTATGTGTGCTCGTCTTGGTACGACTGCAATAAGACACTACGAACGCAGAAACTTCTGTTCTTTCCCTCGGTCGCAAACAAGTGAGCTGCACTGCGGGTACGAGGGAGACATTATGGATCCTTTAGAGAAACGTTACTTTAAGGTCTCTCTGAGCGGCAAGAGCCAAACAAAGAATCATTACGATAAGTGGTTGTGTACTCTACCAACATTCAAGAGTGAGATTGGAGACAACGGATGACGCAGGGATGGATTAATTGCCTGGACAAAAAATACGCTTTCATATACACTGTAATGCTGTTGTCCCTCCTCCCCTCCCTCCCAACTCTTCTTTCTCATCCACTGAGTGGAGTCTGAAGTCGGATTTTGTGAGCTCCCCGCCTCACTCCCAAAAATAAAGTACGGAGTCAGAGCACTCCCTGGTGGTGCCACACCTGAACTTCAACTCAAACTTGGCAAACTTTATTTTGGGCTGAGCGACTCCGGGTTCTTTCAGCCGCGGCGGACTGAAAACGACCCGGTTGGGTGTCAGCAGGAGTTTATATTGGTCTGAGTACAACAACGTTGTATACATTAAAAATGTATACGAAAATCTTGAACATACAAATTCCTATCAATACATAGGAACTGCGCTGGTTAACCACGCCCCTTGAGTGAACAACATGGCGGACCATGTTGGATTCTTGAGTGAACGTCTCTCCACCATATTGGATTTTTTGAGGGGGTTAGGGTTAGTATTCTATTCTTACAAGTTAACATTGATTTCTGGTAAAAAATGCAATCATAACACGTTTATTTTACATGGTTAGACTTCACAAAGTGTGTTTACGGGGTGCAGGTCCCCATTCACTTTGAACAGGGTGACGTCATCAGTTGCTGTCCGTATTTATTTCGTATGTATCACTACAAAATGTATATGTTCAAGATTTTCGTATAAATTTTTACGAACAGGTTTTGGAGATCCGGCTGGAGTACAAAGATGGGGACAGGAGATGAGGCTGAGCTCTTTGCGTTGAGCCACTTGTTGCTCCTTCAGTTACAGAGCAGATATCCACACAACTTGATAAACTCTAAATGCCGAAGCCTTTTGCTGCAGGAGGGCAATTAAAGGCTTTTTGTCAGTCATGTAGTTTATGCACTACATTTAATTTATCCAACGCTACAAAGTGCTCTCAGTCAGTGTCAGCTTAAGCGCTACTAAATTGAGATAATTTAGGTGAAAGACGAGACAAGAAAGACCAAGGAACAAGAGGGTACTCTTGTTTTCTTTTTAAGATTCTGACGCCGAATAACATGTTCTTCAATGAATCTGCTTATTTCATCAAGTATGTACCCGAGTCCAGGGCCTCACGCAGCTCCAGGGGTCCACCGGAAGAGGGAGGAGCTCCATACAGACACTCGCCGCTCAAACCTTCAGGAGAAAAGGAGGGAGGAAGTCAGCTGGGTGTCTGAAAACGCGTTTTCCTGGTCCTAAATGGTGGGGGGGCGTGAGGGGGAATAACAGTAAAATGAGAAGAATGGTGACATACAGACATACGTCCTTAGCCTAGCTTAGCACAAAGACTGGAATTAAGGGGGTGCAACTGCTGACCCGTAGTTCAAACACATACAAACACCTCTAAAGATCACTAATCAACATCTTGTATATATATTGTAGCAGTACTACGGACAATTGTCCGTAGTACTGCTACAATATACTGTCCATCGATAAAGAAAAAAGGACAGCTTGCGGCTTATCTGGCAGTGTGCTTTATAGTGAGAGAAGCTGTACTGGAAGTACTGAATATACAACCGCTACTTCAAATGCAAATTGTTTCTAGTCCTGTCCGTGTGCCAGTTATGAAATAATTGTTCATTAGTAAGTTTTAGAAATATAAATAGGCGGATTACGTGCCCCACGCTTCCAGTCGTTATGCTTTAAAGGGGCAATTGAATGTTCCTTTATTGTAAATGCTTGCTACACATCTGTAGTTGTTTGTATTTTCTCACCGTGTTTCTCAGCAGCTTCAATGAGTCTCAATACAGCCACAGGAGCCGCTTCAGAAAGCGCTGCCTCCATTCCTGGGAGAGAGAGAGAGATCATGTTTTATTCATTTCCATAAAACAACAACTATGGTTCCCTTTATGATTTTTTCCCCATACAACTAACAATGTTCATTTATTAATGATGTACAATAAAGTACACAATTAACTTTTAATGTTTCAACTTTTTTAAACAACATATTTATGAAAGAATATCGTTATTGTATGTATTGATTTAAAAAGAATTAAGAGATCGTTATCTCAAATTGCCCTTGAAATAAATTGGAACCAGAAATCATCCGACAACATTAAAATGAAAAGGAAAGGTGCTTTGCTCTACTGGTTACTACACCTGTGAGACCACGAGCATTTGCTGAGCCATTTCCACACATTCAAACAATTGAATCAGAGTATTTGTGCGACTGTTTCCCCTCCAGGGAGTGTGTACTACTGCCTGAACAACTAGTGAACACACACACACACACACACACACACACACACACACACACACACACACACACACACACACACACACACACAGACCCGCACACACACACACACACACACACACATTTGCAAATGGTTCATCTGGAAGACAGTTTCACATGTCAAAGTAATTAATAAAACATTGAGCATTAGAGCTGCATGTGAACTCTGCAGATGGAAACTAAACCGACGGGGCCCTCCGATGAAATGAAAGATATCGGATTCTGCACTGGCAAAACTGGCCCTGAAAATAATCAGATATCTGCATACATTTCAATATTGGGCAGTTGCTGCAGCCTGCAGCGAATCCACTAGTGGATGTGAAAAGGTTAAACAACATGTGGAGGCTGATAACAGACTGCAGGCTGCAGCAGCAGCTGTCTTAACAGCCACTATTGGGATCCAATAGTAATCCCAATTAAACAGTTCTTAACAGTGCCAATAATGAAGTAGAGCAGAATGTGTTGAGGGGAATAAATTGATGAATAACACCAGATCCACTTTCATAATCACACTTTCACATAGTTGTATTTCTTAAAGTAAACAATTGTTTTGATTTAAACCACAGAGTATGTATCATTTTACAACTCGCTGGGCACTTTGCACAAATGCAGTCGTGCATTTACATATTGACTTATTGCTAACAACAGTTTTACGACCAAATTGATGTGTTAAATGATTTACATTGACAAACATAAAACCTGTAATTGATGGAACAACTCTAATGGAATGGAACGATTATTAATAGTGCATGTTCTTATTAATCCATGGGGAAGGGGTATGCACAGGCCTGTCTACAACCACTGAAAAAGCACATTCCATCATGTTAACATTCAGAGGATTAAACAGAAGAAAAGAGAGAACGAGACATTGTCTGCATAGAGATAGATCCTAAGATGGTTTATGCTTGTACAAAACCATATTGACATCAGTGTTTACAAATTATAGAAATATATCTATTGTTGGATGCAATACCAGCCCGAAAGCAACATATAGTTGCCGCATATTATAATGTAGCCTTCCATTCTAGTACAGCGTCTCTACAAGTGCTTCGTTGATAACCTGCTCATGTTTGCTACTTCCATCCGTCCTCACTCAAGTCCTGCCGCTATTCCTCCACAAGTCCTTCTCATCTCTGCTTCTTTCATCCATTTAAGAATGACTTTCATCTCTCTCTCCTACTCACCAGCTCTCAGCCTCGCTCCCTCGCTCTTTTGTTGACAGTTGTGTCGTATCACAAAACACACAGTGCCGAGTGACAGTCACGCAGAGTTAAATGAAACTTGTCTTTTGATGCTCACAGGCTGGCTGCCTCGAACGTGCACACAAAAACATGCGAGCAAATAATTGTTTTAATCTTTTGTTGAGGAAACAACAACAAACACATATATGCTGCTTTTACAGGTGTCCCGACCTGTCCGCTGTACCAGTTGTGTTTTCTATTGTGTCACGAGTTTGTATGTGTGTGTCTGTGTGCGTATGTGCACGCATGTGTCTGCGAGCAATAAAAGAGGAAGAGGAAATTCTGGAGATAAAGGTCGTTAAATGTACAGTGCTTCCATTAACGTCACTGTCACAACCCATCACAGAGGCAATATCTCACCCCGAGGAGCGGAGAGGAGAGGGAGAAGGAAAGGAGGGGAGTGGACAGCTGAAAAGACAAAGAGGAGGAAAAGGAGAGGACAGGGAGATGAGAAGGAAAAAAGACAAGGAGCAAAAAATTAAATGAAGAGAAGACAAAAAGATGAAAAGAAGAGGATGAATGACAAAGGTAAGAATGGGAAGCGGGAGACATCAGAGATAAAGGGATGGGAGGGCAAAAGCATGGAGGACAAAACAAGAAAAGAGGAGGACAATGGAGAAGGACAAAACAGAAATGAGGACAACAAGTGAAAAAGACAGAAATACTTAAATGGACATGAAATACGCAGGAAATAAAGGAGAAAAAAAAACAGACAAGGATGGGAGACAAAGACAGAAAAACAACATTAGACGAGGACGCAGCTAAAGAGGACAGACACAAAACAAGACAAAGTGAAAGAAGGAAAACAGAAGAGAAAGTGTCAAACATAAAACAGAGGGAAGGAAGAGGACAGCAGCGAAGACGGAGGAGAAGAAGACAAAAGAGAGGAAAGAGGAGCCGCAGATGAGGCACTATGAGGCTGAGCACTCGTTCAGCTCTGCAGCAGATCAGCCTCCCACCGGCTCCTATAGAGCACGTATGGAGCCGCACACAAAGGCAACAACACGCCACCCGCAGCACATTCACACACACACACACACACACAGCCACAAACACGCTGTAAAGACTCTGCATCTACAGCAGGGGCCGGCAGGGACAAAGAAGTAATCGCACAGCGTGTGTGTGTGTGTGTGTGTGTGTCCTCCATCACTAAGGTGTTCCGTCGTTAAAGCGCGCTCCGTTGCATTATACGACTTAGACCTTACTGGCAAACACACATTCCATTGCCCGCTGTCGAAGGGATGGAAACTCACAAAAAAGGGGGGCAGGGGAGTAGTGGTGGGGGGGGGACTTGTGTTCCCCTGCGGACAGCTGTGGCCTCCGAGCCGCGGCTTTGGAAAATGATTTATTGATCAGAGAAAGTTGGCATTACAAAGTAGACAGTGAACCGCTTCTCTTTTCAATAGCAACCGATAAAACACACACACACACACACACACACACACACACAACATTGAAGAAAAACCAGAGGATGAAAAGAGCAGTTTTAAATTGCGAGGTCTGCATTACATAGATACAGATCTGCATCTCTTATAATGTTGATGAATAATACATCATATTGAGGTAAAATATTTAAACAGTATGAAAGGGGGAATTCATGTCATATAGTTTTTATATAGGACATAATAAGTTTGATCTTCAATCTCAAGTCTCTCTTTAAAGTCTCATAGGTATCCTTCCGTCCGGGAGGGCAGCAGTAACGCGCTGTGGCAGCAGGGGGCAGCTGACTCCAGCCCTGACTGGACAGAGCAGAGGGAGGTCTTGGCAGGACGATACAAAAATAAAATAGTTCCCATAGCTACATTAATAATAACTGAAAGGTGCTGCCAGAACTTGAACCAACTGATGGGAGTACTACACAGAAATTATCAAGCTCTTTTTAAAAGGACAACTTACTGATTATGATGACTGATTAAAACAGTCAACCTTACACTGTTGCCTGTGTTTGATCTATGTAAGTGAACAAAACTACCAGTGAGAAAATTGGCCACACAGTTATTCTTAATGCTCGCCATCTGTAGCACTGCAGGTTCCACCCTAAACTCCTGCAGCACAGATTCCAGAGGCAACCGAAGTTGGCTCTCCAGCGAGGAGGCGCTCCCCGTTTCTAGAACAGGAGTTGCAAGGATTCCTCCTCCTCCTCACCGACAGCCTTTGTGGGTCCCGCAGGGCCCCAAAATCAAGCGACCATGGTTTCAAAGAGTCCCCGCGCGATGCCCATGTCCCCTGAGCTTCTGAAATGTTTTTCTTTTTTCTCTGCTGTAGCAAACTATTTCTGCCCGTTCTTGAACAGCATTAAAAATGACCGACAATGTGTAAAAATGAGAGCGAGAGCTGAGGTGACCTGCGGGCTGCCGGAGCGCGACGACCGTATCCGGTTACCAATGTGAAGGCTTGGAAGGACGACCTCTTTACTCGTATGGTGCCTTTCCCCTTCCCTCCTCCTCCTCTTCTCCACTGTTCTCCGGCCAGTCAGCTCCACATCTGAGCATCACAGCAAAAGGCTGAAGGAAACACTTTTTCCATGCTTTGCTGCAGTCAATATAGTTGAAAAATAATTGAGAACTTGTGCTATGAGTGTACTGCAAGGCAGTCCAAAACCTCTGCGTTTACTCGATTTCCAATGTGCGCAACTAGCAGAGCAAGCTGTTTAATTTAAGGGGCTACAATGAAGAATCCCACAGCAGATGCGCTGGTTAAACGATTGGGATTTGCCCGTACAATCACACGTTTCTAAAAAGGCTGTCAATCGCGGGGTGGGGGGGGCACCAAATGCCTGCGCTAGAGCAATTACAGCAGGAGGTCGCGGTTATCTGGTCGCCGGGGCGAACTTCAGAGTGCAGAAAAAGACAACCTACAATACAATGCAGAGTAGCTCAAGACCGAACAAGCCTGCAATGCTGGAAGCTTTGCCTCTTCAGTCCAGTCGGTCGGAACAGCCTGAAGTCTCTCCCTCGTGTGCGTTGAATCTTAAACAGCGAGGAGAAAAAAGACCCTCTGCAGCGGCAATATTAGCAGCTGAGCCGCTTTAAAGAGCGCGGAGGAACCTTGATCCTCCATCTCCTCCTGGCCCAAATCACCCATGAAAGACTCTCACTCGGAGGAAGCCCCGCCTCTCTGCTTCCAAGGGGAACCGACGGGCCGCCAGGGGCCACGAGGGCAGCGCAGTCGGGCATACCTACTGTATGCACGCACTCTGACACAGATACACACATGCGCATACATCAGCATACATGCATACGCTCCTGTGAGATAACGGACTTAAACGCCTCTGATGGGAAAAAGGAAGATTTACATTCAGGGTGCGTCA